GAGAGAGAGAGAGAGAGAGAGAGAGAGAGAGAGAGAGAGAGAGAGGGAGAGAGAGAGAGATGATCACAGTAGTATATGGTATTCAATTACTTTCTTTATCTTCACACTGAACTGCAATACCTAAGAGCAGCTGCAACAAACGAACCATCTCTTCCTCATTACTGTGTTCAGCTGCAAAAAAATTTAAAATAATAATAATAATAATAATAATAGATTTGCTAACCAATTTTCGAGACGTCTGGTATGGTGAATTTCCCGAGATTGACATGAAGCGTCTCTCCATAATACTCCTGCATTGACTTTAGGATCTTCTTTAAGTTGCTCATCTTCAGTCTCCAGCTGGCGGAAGCTTCCGGAATTATCTTCGTACCCCATTGCTTAGTGAAGTACTGGGGATCACTAGAAAATAGAGGAGGAGCAGCGATAAAAATAAAATTTTTAAACATGTCCCGTAATTAAGTGGGTGTGTCATTGTTCCATTAACTCACACGTGCATTAGGCAAGCTGCTATTGCAGTTCCATCAGAGATGTCACTAATATCCATAGAATAACCTCCACCAGCTCCTGATAGTACCAGACAATTCTCCAACTACAAGATAAAAGGTAATATTAATTAATAAATATTAATGTTAAACAGCACAAAAAGAGCTTGAACTAATTACTGTGTCTTTGTACTAGTTAAAACTTTAGATTATGATATATAGAGGGTCACTTACCCAGGTAACAAGGGCGGGATATGGCTCAAAATCTCTAGAATCTTCTGACGCCATTTTGAAAAAGGAAATAATAACAAGGCCACGCCCATGTAATTAACCCAATTGACCACGCCCACAACAAAATTCTCGCTTCGAGTAAACAATGAAGAAGCTGTTGCTGTCTTTCGCTGTTCTGCTGCTGCCTCTGGTCGTTTCTCCTTATCCAATCACTAACTGTACGTCTCAGTGTTGGGCCAGCAATGAATTGGCTAACTTCATGAGAGACATGGCCCCAGCCCAGCAAAGAAAAGTATAAAAATGTCAACTTGATTAGTATCAGACCTCTTCTCTCTGTCTCTTTTCTTTTTGAACAGTTATTGTGTGCTTGTGGCTTTGGCTGTAGATTAGATAAACTGAACCGTCTCATGTTCAACTCTGAGCAATGCAAAACTTGTAAGAACAGCAATAATAATGAAATACACTAGATCTAGATCAACATGTAATTATTGCAGACTTGTAATTATTGCGTTGTCAGTGTCCACCTGTCACTGTTAGTCCTCTCCCGCCATTATGTACTGTCGTGTACTGTTAGTAGATAATGGTTTACTACATAATCTATTGAATCATTAATCAATTGTGAATTGTTTGTATATTGTTCTCCTACAGCTTGTGATGAGGCGTACGATGGT